CGCTCCCCCAGGTCAGGCCGCGGCGCGGGGGGTGGGTCAGCAGGGACCCCGGGGGCTGCTCAGAACCCACCCCGCGGTCGGGAAGTGAAGCTGGTAACTTCCCAGCGAAACCATCCGCTTCCCCAATTAACTGTCGGGGTTTTGCTCGGGCCCAACAGGGCTTTGAACGGAGGACGAAGCGAATATTTTCGCATGCTGGTCCCGAGCTCTCAGACAAGCTGGTGGCAGAGCTTTCACGCTGTCCCTGGGCAGTCTGCGGGGCCGGCGTTCCCAGGGCGGGACAGAGCTCTGGCCGTGCAGCAGGACGGAGCCCTGCAGGGCAGGGCTGCTCGGGTCGCTGCATTGAAAGGGCCCCCTTCCCTCCTGGAGCTCGCTAATTACCTTCCCTCTCTCCCCCTCCCCCCGGTACCTCAGGACAGCAGACACTCCGCGATTCTTTGCCCTTCTGCACCTGCTGTGGTTCCTGCAGCGCTGCTGGGCTTTGCCTCCGGGAGGGCATGGCTGGGCACACCCGCAGGCGTCCCCTGGAAATTCCCTCGCCATCTGAGGAGGACTGGCTGAAGGATGAGGAGGAAGATTTCTTCCTGCAGGATCCCGATCGGCAGCGGGGTGTGTTGCCTCAGCCCTTCAGGATGATCAACAAGCTGGTGATGCTGATTTTTGAGGATGCTATGGAAATCATTGAAAGAAGGGAGATGGACAGAAAAGAGAAGGTCCAGCCTGCAGAACTCTTTCCCACAGCTGAATTCCAGGTACAGAGCCCTTCACAGCAGGAGCAGCATTCATCCCCCAAGCACATTTTGTAAAGAATGTCCATTCAGTTGATTTCCCATCCACCTGCTCATCCCCTTCCTCAGAATCCACCACCATCTCACTGACTCAGTTCAAAGGGCTGCAGTGTCTGAGCTTGTCTGGCAGGTTCTGCTTCCCACCCAGCTCTCACGCCTCCCTGGAAAGGGAGAAGCAGGTATTACACAGCACCCAGTTCACCTCCTGCTTCTCAGGCTGGTTCCACCCTTCTTTGCCAAGAAGAAGGTGATTAATCAATAGCACACCAATGGGCAAACTCAGCTCTCTGGTGTGTGAATACCCTTCTGGGAGCACTGGGAGCAGAAGGGCACTGCTGCCTTCCCCAGCTTTACGTGGAGGTGTCCAGAAGGATGCTCTGGCACCTGCTGCTGTTCTGCAGGTGCCCAGAGGAGCTCAGCACCTCGGTGCAGCTCCGTGTGTGCAGTGGGAGGGCTGAGTGCTCCTGAGTTGTTGGCCTTTGAAGCCCCTACTTTTTATTGGAAGGGGAAAGGTGGGAGCAGGCTTTCTCATTCCTAACACAGAACAATCTTTGTGACACAGACGAGA